GGGAAGGAGGAGGAGCACGCACTCGTCCCTGTGACTCAAACTCGATGATTTTTGGAGTTTAGGGCGAGATCACAGAAGACACGTGGAGGGGTGAACGTCGTTCCTTTCGCCACGTGGCCTCTTCCTATTCTATTTGGGAAAGAGACCACGTGGCAAAGAGAATGCCACGTGGACTCTTTCTATTTGGGGAAAAAGGCCACGTGGCCGTGGCGAAAAGAACCCATCCTTAGGATGATGGCAGAGAGGTGGTCGCCAAGCAGAAGTTTCGCAGACAGTTCACCACAGAGGCAATAAGATATGATATAAATAATTTAATATAATAGTTAAAATAATTTAATATCGTAGTTAATATTATAGACGAACACATCAGACACCGGTCCGTCCAAATCCGAGCGTTACCCACGTCAGCAAAGAATCTCTTATTATCCTTTCTTCCTTTTTTCGTTTTTTCCTTTTTTCGTTTTTTCCTTTTTTCGTTTTTTCCTTTTTTCGTTTTGGAAAAAAAAAATCCGTTACAATTGGAACGATACACAGAAGATTATTAGCATGGCTCCTGCGCAAGAATTAAAAAAAAAAAGAAAAAGAGAACCTTACCGATACAAAAATGGGATAACGGTCGAAACTCATTTTTTTCTCAAAAACGAAATGAAATTATGCACCTGGGCTGTGCGGACGGCCTCATGCAGCCGCGGGCTCGTCTTCAAAAGAATCGAGTTAAAAAAAAGAGAAAGAGACATGGGGAAATAGGAAAACGAAGAGGGGTGGGGGGGGGGAAGGGGGGGAGGGGGAGGCCAATAGAAATGGGGGAAAAAGGGTCGGAAACTATAAGCAGCGAAAATAACAAACAAGAAGCAGGCAAGGCCACGAGAAGAAAAATCAACCCCCGCCCCCCCCGCGGGGAAAAAAAAAAAAAAGAAAAGAATAAGCAAAGAAAATCACTGACTGAACTCAAGCCAAGGAATCTATAAGAGAGAAACGAATAAGAAGAGAAAGGAGGAAAAAACGGAAAAAAAAGAAAAAACAAGAACGAAGGAAAGAGACAGAAGAGTGGAAAGGTAACAAGGAAAGACGGGAAAGTTAGGGCTTATTCATTCACATTAAGAGGTTTTCAACAGAATCTGGCCGTTTTTCAGGCCAGATACGTTCAAGAAAGTCCTTGTGGTGAGTATTTTGCCCTTCGAGAGAAAATAGGGTAGGAGAGAATCATCGGAGGAAAGAGGAGGTAACTTAGGTAAGACAGAATTTTCCACATTAGGAAGAAAAAAAAAGCACCGACTTCACATAAAAGGAAACAGGGAAAATGGATTGCCGTCCCCTGGAAGGCGACCGTGACGGGGAGAGAGAGAGAGGATAAAATAAATGAAAACATAATAAAAAAGGGAAAAAAAAA